GTGTGTGTGTGTGTGTGTGTGTGTGGGGGGGGGGTGTTGGGGGGGGGATCATGTTGCATTGGTGTTTAATCAGAGTCAGAGCTCCTCATTAGCGATACCCCCACTGAGAGTTCAGAGGCAGTGCTGACATCAGCCGTCTCTTCGCACTTTTCCCTCTCTCTCGGCGTAAAGTTTTGTTTACAAACATTCCTCTGAACGATCTTTGCTCCTGCTGAATCTCCCAAAAAAAAAAAGAGTGGAGCAAGATGCAAGTACAGAAAGTTGTCTTTTTCCTGCCTCATAATTAGTGTGCTCAAGCGGTTATGAAAGATAGACTGATGAAGGAAGTGTAAGTGTAACMATGAATTCTAACACTTTGTGTCAACAACAACAAACATGTACAAGCCTTTACGTTAGAACAACAAGTTCAAAGGACTCTGAAATGAAGAATGAGTCCCAGGAGAGCAGACATGAGTAAAGTGAAGCGTTTTSGGGGCCAACACAAGAGAGGTGTGAACAGGGGCCAGAAGGAGAAAGCATTAAAATGAACTCAGGAGAATAAAACATTTTCAGTTTGAATTTCACAAACGCWTCAATAACCTGCACAACTCTCTGACACAGCAGCTTCATCACCGGACCTATAATCCACACCTGAAACTCTGAGGGCCTCACGAGCCGAACGGACGGTGGAGATGAATGAGGCTGCAGCTCTGTGAGCGAAAAGCTGCACATCTGACGATTAACGGATCAAAAATGGACTGAATGTTAACTCTGTTAGCACACTCAGACACTCTGACTACCTGACTTTCAAAGCTCATCATCCACTAWTTTGGTATTAACAGACTTTGTTTTTTAATTCTCCAGTGAAACTTTTAGCTGAGTTCCAGTCTGTGTAGGAGACAGATGAGCAGCGTGTTCTCAAATCTAATTGATTTGTTTCTTACTCTGAAATGTCTTTCGGTGATAACAGTTTTTATTCTGGCAGCAGCTGTGAGAGAAAACATCAAACACACACGCACACACTGCAGCCAGCAGACACAGCAGAGTGTAAAGTCCTGATCCATCTCTGTCAGACCTGCTGGCYGAGCTCAGCGGTGCTGCATCATTAGTGACCAGGTGCTGACAGCCAGGCAGAGGAGGTGTTTATCTCTGTCTCTAAAACGCTCAGACCAAAAGCTGCTGCCTTCAGATAAACACTCAGATTTACACATTGAATGTCTAAAAAAACACTGTATTTAGAGGTGAGAACAAAGTTCAGTCTTGCTAAAAGAAAAGCTGACCTGAGTTTGTATTAATCCACAACTTTTATACTAAAAAAAAGTGCGCTAAAGCAGAGCCGTCTACATCTGGTCGTTTTTATAGGTGAGCTGTTGTAAAGACCTGCTGCTAATAAAACCACACTGGAGACCCGGAGGTGAGAGGACACAGGGTCAGACAGGGTCCTGCTTCGTGTCCAAGAATGAAATGTCCAACAATCACCATCCACAAAGCCAAACCATCTTCAGCATGATAAAACATACAGTATATTTGGTTACTATTACAGCTGTTTCATTTAATCATAGTTTGTGAAGCTGTTTTATATCTGGATGCCTAAATGAGCACAAACTCCGCCCTGTTTGTTGGTTTTTTACATTATTGTCCTCCAGTTGTGTTAATCCACACTGCTGAGTCSAGCTGACATCTTTTTCAGTGACGACCTTCAGTTTTTCCTGTGTTTGTACCGTTTCTCACATTAGTCCTTCCAGCCCATCCAGATGTGTTCACACACACACAACCTCTAATCTTCCACAGGAAAGAGGAGGGTCTCGTGCCTTTTCTGCTCCGTTCACCTCGCCGCCCCTCTTCACTCACGCTCCACACGTTTCTCACTCTCCCTGCTGTTTTTGTCCCAGCACATATCTGCAGTGATGGTGATGCCAGGCAGTCAGACTGTAATTACAGTGTTGGGTTAAATGGTCCGACTGGTGGAGTGATGCTGTCTGCTGACAGAGGTGTGTGTCTGGTCACTCTGAGGGAGACCTCTCTCTGTACAGGATGCGACACAGCCTCCCTATCCTCTCTTCAGACTTCCTGCTCTTTAGAATTCTCCACAGTTTCGTCGTGGGAAAACCTGCAGCGATCTGAACCACAGATATTAGGAGCAGACTCTATGCCTAGAAGGCATTTCTACATCCTAATTACAGGAAAATTGAGCTTTGTTTCAGAGTCACACACCCCCTTCACCTCTAATTACTGATCACGGGGGTCCTCCTCTGGTTCAGCTCTTTTGAAGTGAGGTTCTGCTGAGAGGTCGTGAATAATTAATATCTCACCTGCTGTAAGTAGTTCTTCTGAACGATCTCAGTTTGAAGAAATACTGCCTAACTTGTTGTAAATAATAGTGACAGGTTTAACTGTGGCACTTCTGGTTCAGGCTGGGGCACTTCCTGCAGGAATATGACAATATCTCCACTGGAATAATCATTCAATGCAGAATAAAACACTTTGCATGAACCCCTGTTAGCTTGCCAATCCACTTGTTTCTTCAAATTGTGGCTGTTCTAATAGGAGTCTTCAACAGGTAAGACAATAAATCTCCATAACTTGGCCACAGAACCTCATTTTAAATGAGCAGAAACAAGTCTCTGTGTACAGGGAAAACAAACAGTGCTGCAGTTTGTGTAAAGTGGGTGCTGTCAAAGTGCTG